TCCCCCTTATCCAGAGCCGCGCTCCAGTCACCTGGCTCCCTCCACCTGTGGGGGCGGGAATGCTTACAAAATACCAACTTCTGGGCTCCACCCCAGCGATGCTGAGTAGATCACTCCCCTGCTTAAAAACCCACCCACGCTCTAAATATTCAAACTCCCTGGCATGGACAAAGGCTCTTCTGCTGTGGCCCCACTTTATCTCCCCAGTTTCATTTCTTGCCTGTCCTGTCTTACCATGAACCCTACAGAAAAGCTACTCTGTCCTCTCAGCACTCTGAGGACATACAACGGTCCTACCTCTGAGCCCTTGTACTGGCTGTTGTCTGCCCGGATGTGCCTCCCCATCCTCCATCCCCTTCCCCACCAGGAATCCTCCCACTGTCAGGAAGGACTCACCAGTCACCTCCCACCTGTCTTCCCAAGTCCCACAGGCTGGGACACATCACTGCCATTACCACCCTTTATTTACATCTTACCCTTGCACTAGCCAGCAAACCCACGTGGAACAAGTGTGTAGTGTATCAATTACGTCGTAGAAAAGAACAGCTCTCTGAGGAGGTGAAATCACCCTCCTCAATCCACACATTTTAATAAGCTGCTTTGGAAACAGACTGCTCATCGCTACAGTGAAAGGATTCCTCCCAATTTGTTTCGAAAGGAGCTTGCATGTCAACCAGACCAAAATGAAAGTGTACCAAACTTGGGTCAATTCCTGTCATGTCTGCAGTCACAGCAGCCCTGCTGGCTGCAAGGCTTTTCAGCTTCCTGGAGGTTTTTACCTTTAGTGACAGATGCAGAGGACAGGGGTCACTTGTGTTAGATGACAGACTATGATACAGCCCGGTGGGGAGAACTATGTGAATAGTACCCGGTTGTGCAAGACTTGGGGAACAGAATTCAATATCAAGGTTGGGGATGTGGACAAAAATTAAGAAATATCAGAAATGGCATCAGCAAATAAGTACTAAATACTAGACAGCTCTTGATATGATTTTTAAAGAAACTGTGTTGGGGTGTTTTTTTTTACCAGGTGGCTAACGATGACATGCATGTTATGGGAAAAATGACACATGAAACTGGAAACGCTGCGACAGAGCGTGATGCCAGCACGTACGCTAAAACTGACATGCACGTTGACTCAAATTGTTTGAAATTAGATTTTTTAAATTCAAACCAAAGTTGTGACATTATTTTCTTGGGAACTTACTTTGTTTTCATTCTAATTTTAAGCATAACCAATTCAAGCCCACAGGCACTTCCACTCGAACTCCGAGTGTGAGGGCTGTGTGTCTGCTCACGCCCGTCACGACAGTGGGCACAGGAACAGTTCCCCAACCTCTACCTCTAACTCATCTGCTTCTCTAGGCCTTCCCTGGGGTCCTCACTTGAAAAGACTTCCTGCTTTAAACTGCACTGATAAAGAAAGAAATCATTTCCCCACTGAATCGTGTATCAAAGACAAACAAGCAAACCATAGCTTCAGATCAAAATGAGATAAGCAGGGTTCTGAGTTCTAAGTCCAATTAAAGCAGTATGACACTGTATTCTACATCACTGTAGACTTTTCACAGGAAATTTATGCTATGAGATTATTTGAAAATATCGCAAGGAAACAGCTTGATGCTCCCATTATTGCTTTCAAGACACCTGGAGATGCAGGGAAGCAGTGGACTGACCAGACCAGAGCGGACGCGAACTTGCTAGAGCTCACTCAGGGCTTTAGCCACCGTCTCCCTTTGCCTCCTCTTGCCCTGGCAGGGCCCTGCTTTCAGCCCAAACCTCCTGTGGTCTGGCAAACGGTTGTCTCCATTTTCTTCAACAAAACAGGAACTATGTCAGATTTTTCAAGTGCCCCACCATGAAAAATGACAATAACCCATATTTCACACTTTCCCTCTGAAAAGGTGTTTTAAAAATTTTTTGGTTTCTCTTAATTCTATTTTAGAAGTCTTATAACACTGTAATTTCACAATTATGCATTTTAAAGTGCATTCTCTGTGATAAAACCCACCACAGTAGGAATTTTAAAAATAATAACGTTACCCTCTTTTCCTAAGAAATAATAAAGCACAGAGAAATACGGCAAGATCCGAATCTCGCCTGCACTAATGCAGCATGAAAGAGCAGTTTTAAAAGGACAAGGAAAAGGGTACATTATCTCATTTGGGGGGGCGGGGGGGGGAAAGGAAATGAATTAAGGCCACAACAAAATGAAACTGAAAAATTGCTAAATGAAGCTGTGAGTGGGGAAAATGAAAAATCAATGAAGGAACGGAGGGGAAAAAGGTACATTTTTCATCTTCATGAGCTTGATTGGGTTTGTAGAAATTCATTTTCAATTAATGTGTCTTGTGGCATTCAGCCAGGCTAGATATGAGCGGGGCACATATTTTAATCAATTTTTTTCTATTAAGTTTGAAGTAATATATAATAATAGAACTATACCATTCAAAAGGATCCGTTGAAACTGGCTTCTGAGGTAAAATAACCTAATTTGGTTTGATTTCTACCTTACATTAAAGAGAACCCAACTTCTCCCGAAGGAGAGGAAGGGCAACAAGCTGTCTCCCAGGCGCCTAAGCTTGACCCGACTACGGCGACAGCGCGGATGAATATGCCGGCTCTGCAACCTGTGCGCATTCATGGGGGAGAAAGGAAGGTCGGCACCGGGCACCACAAAAGTGGGTATCTGGCTTTTCTGGGTTAGCTCATCACCCTCAGAAACAGCCCTAGGGGGGATCATCCCCACAGAGGAGAAAAACTGAGGTTCCTAGAGCTTCCCCAGCTCTTCACCCTTCGATGATCACCTGTGGTCGCCTATGCACTGGACCCAGCGTTAGGGACCGGGAGCACAGTGGTGGGCTAGGAACACTTGCTCTCCACCTTTACAGAAAAAAAAAATACTAGTGAGGATGGCAGGCAGCAAATGGGGAGGGTGGAGGGAAATGCACAAGTGCGTGCACGATAGGGAACCAGCAGGGTGATGTTTGGTACCCCCAATATAGCATGCGCCTGCTGAATGCTGACGGGTGAGGGAAAGGTTCAGGCCAGAGGGCTCCCGACCAGCTCATCCCCACTTGCCTGGGTCTCCCCAGATGTTGGCACTGAAGTCCCATGTGCCAGGAACTTCTCACTCACAGGCAAACCAGGACAGTTGCCACTTTAGAGCTTGATGCTGGCAGGGCTGATTTAAACCCGTGCGGTCCAAAGCCATTCACGCCACACTGATCAGAGGGCTGCCTTTGTCCTCCCTGGGTGACAACCCGGGACTGCCATGCTGCCCAGAAAGTAGGCCGGGCTGGGAACAAAGTTGGCAGGTGACGGTCTCTGTGGCAAAGAATTTTCTGGGGCCCTAAGTCTTCAAAGCTGTTCTTTGCCCTTCTGTGACTCCTGGGGAGGGGGGTGGGATGGAGAAGAGGGTGCTCTCAGCTTGTCTGTCCCTGTGCTTCCCTGGGTGGAGGCAGGGTCAGGGACAAAAATCACACACTACACAGGACTATCCAGGGAGAAAATGATTTCAGATTAATGTAATGAGATGTACCCAGGTCCGCAAAGCTGGTACTAAAAAAAGTTCAAGTGCCCTGAATTTAGATCCTCACCTGCACTGGCCCTCCTGGGAGCTGCCTAACTGTCCTTTCTGTCCCTTTCCCCTCCTAATTGCTCAGCACCCCCTGAAGAGACATCAAGGAATTGAGAGCAAAGTAGTAAAGGACATTTTCTCAGCTTAGTGCAGATAACCCCCCACAATTGGTCTCAGCCTACACTTCCAGCCTCTTCATCCCAATTCCCTCTCACAGTCCAGTCAAACTACATTAGTTAACTCACCCACACTTATGTTTTTCTTTTATGCTTATTCCATATCTTGTCTGGTATGTCCTTTTCCACTCACGCAATCCCTGCCTAGAAAAATCCAATCCATCCTGCAAGACTCGGTCAGCTACCACCTCCTCCCTGAAGCCTCCCACCCACACAGAGTCAGTGAACATGCATTTTGTCAGTCACTCCTCACAACAACCTCTGGTGCAGGTGCTGTTATCATTATTTCCACGTTGCTGATAAGGAAACTGAGTGTTGGGAAGAGTAAGAAACTCACTAAAGATACAGAGCCCAGCCAGGAACAGAGGCGGGAGGCCAGCTCAGATTTCATTCATCACGCAAAGTCTGTGAGCTTTACTGTTATCTCCACTCTCTTTGCCTGGGCACAGCTCACGGCCCTGCGCAGGACTTACCACGTTCTGCCGTGGGCTCAGAAGGGTTTTAGTGTCAACCAGAAAGCCCTACGCTGGCAGAAACTCACGTCCATTTCGGCATTTGGCTCCTAAAAGGTGCTTCTTAAATGTTCAGAAACTGATGAATCAGAGAAGAACCCCCTAAACTGGACCTGCCTCATCACCCCCACCCCTAAACCTGAGGACAGAGCTTCCTGCAGACTTCAGCACTGGGCCAGGAGAACAGAAATATTTAGAGACAGTGGCACGGGGACACAGGTCCAGCCTGATGGTGACGGCACAGAAGAGAACGAGTGGGTCAAGGAAAGACCATTCGATCCGTGCTGGGAGAGGAACAAGCTTTCCACGATCTCCCGCCCCGCCCCCAAAGTGCAGCCCTATTCACAGCACATTCGCAGACAGTAAATTCCACAGGGATTATTGTTTGTTCAACAAGCATTTATTGAGTGCCTCCTGTATGCCAGTGACTATTCCAGGTGTTAGGACACAGCTGGGAATGAAACAGACAAAAGCCACTGGCCGCAGGGAGCTCACATTCTGGCGGATGGTAACAGACAACTCATAAATAAGCAAAACAGGTTAGTGTAGGATATAGGACAAGATAACGGGATAGAGAGCTGTGGAGAAAGAGTAAGAAAGAGGATGGAGGTATGAGCAGAGGACGGGGAGGGGAGGGCTGTAATTAAAGACCTAAAGATAAAAACAAAGCTCTAAAACTATTACCCCCCCAAAACCCATATGACGAATAAACAAGACACACAGCACACCATAAAAATATTAATAACTTTATGCCAAAATTAAAAACTTCTATAATATACAAGACACCATAAACAAACAAAAAAACCCACTGACTTGTAGAAAATAATAGCATTTAAATATTTTTTGATAAATAATGAATATTGATAGTATACAGAGTTCCTATATTATCAGCAGGAAAAAAAGACAAACAACCAAAGAGAAAAATAAACAAAGATATGAATGGCCAATTACTAAGGTTGGAGGCCTGAACAGCCATAACATAAGCTTAGGAAGACAGGCTAATGAGTAGTAATCAGGCTGACACAGATCAAAATCAAAAGGAAGAGACACCATTTCGCTACGGCAAAAACTACCTCCCAGCAGTGCCGGGAGGTGGGGGCGGCGCGGAGATGCTGCCAGCCTGCGCCCTCCGGACAGCGCCTGGGCAGCGCCGGGCAGAGTGGACGGTGCCTGCGCCCAGGCTCTGCCATCCTCCTCCAAGTACAGTCCCCAGTCGGAGAAGCACAGAGACATGTTGGGTGTTGTTTGTAAAAATACAAATTTAGGAAAAAAACCTAAATGTCTATCAATAGGACGCATTACAGTATATTCATATAATGGATAATTAGACAGCCATTAAAAGGAATAATTTATCTCTATATGTAACACCATCAAACACAAAATTGGGAAAACAAGTTGTGCTCTCTCTCTCTCTCTCTCTCTCTCTCTATATATATATATATATATAATTTTTACTTACTTACATATTATGAATAAAAATTTACATACATGTTTAATCATAAACTAAGCTATATACTGATAATAGACACATGCAGGTAGTAAAGCCTCAACACGTGGTCTGCAAAGAGACCAAACTGCCTCTGAAGATGGAGGAAGGAGGCAGAAGGACAATATCAGAACTAGGGAGGAATAAAAAGAGAACCTCCTCTTTGTAATGTTTTCTTTTATTTAGCAAAGATCTGAAATATGCCAAAATGTTAACATTTGTCAATGCTACAGGAGCGTTCCAGGGTTTTTGTTTTTATCAGTCTCTATAATTTTCTGTATTTAAAATTGTTGTCAATTAAAAACAAAAGAAGTAATAAAGGATGAATGCTGGTTAGGAGTCCATGGACCCAGCACCAATGTCATTTAAGTTCACACTGTATCTCAATCCTGGCAGAACCGAGGGACACAGGCAAAGACAGGGAGGAGCAGAGGGAGGAGGGCCCATCAGGCTGGGACCCTGATCAAGGAAGTGGCCAGCTAGCCTGGACCCGGTGCCAGTTCTCAGGGAGGCCCATGAGGCGCCAAGGGCATAAAATTTTGGAGGCACTGTCGGGGCCTGCAGAAAGGCTGGGCGCCTCACCCACGCTCTGCCCCATGGAATAAAGCCCCCCGGGCCTCCAGGCTCTCACTGCCTGTCACCCAAAAGGGGGGATGAGTCTCCAAGGGCAGGAGAAGAGCACAAGGTTCTGGGAGAGTGGCTGACATCACAGCTACTTCCTCCACATGTCCTTACATTTCCATTTCATACTATTTCATTTTTTTTGAAGCTGGGTAACAGATCTATTCCACTACAACAAAAGCCGGGAACTTTTCCACCAGATACTTAGAAAAATATGAGGGAAGTGAAGATACATATCCCTATAAAAGATGTAGGTCACAGCACTGCAGATGTGTAGATCTGCAACTCTCGAATCCGACTCAGATCTCCCTGAGTCAGTCTGATACCCAGCAGAGCATCTGGGGACCTTCACTTAAACAGAATAGCAACACAGGTTCACTGCATTAACAGTTCATTACTAATATGGAAAACTATTCGTCTGCTTCCTTTCTCATTCTCTGCCTATTTACTTAAGCTGAACAGAAGCAAGTCAATGAAAGATCAAAGACAACTATTGACAAGAAAGCATCTGCCTGTCCACTTGCCAGGAAGAAGTGGTGAGAGTGGAGAAGGACCCAACATCTAGTTGATTCTTGTCCCCTTAATGAACTCACTTGATTAGACCAGACTACTAGCCTACGTGGGCTAATACCACCCAATGACTATTACCACCCCTGCTGCTACCAATACTACTAACTAGATTTCAGTAGTATTGGTAGACTAGACTGTCTCAAGAAGACCTGCAGAAAAATAAAGCAGGCATGAAGTACACGTATTTCACTTCAGTATATTTTGGTGAATATTTCTTTCTTCATCAGATACGATTCTCCTTTTCATGAAGTTAGTTGAACTATCTGGTCAGGCAAAATGCTTGCAGTGATAGAAACCAACCAAACTTCTTAAACAGTCAGGAAGAGTGCCAAGTCGACTAGTGCTGTTCATCTCCACTCAGTGAGGACATCCACAGGGCCAACCCTCAGATACAAATATGATCAAACTACATGGACATGCGGCTGCTTCTGCATTTTCTGGGGGGCCATCTGGCAGCAGCACTTCCTTCCCGGAGCACCGGGGGTCTTCAAACCCAGTTCCTATCTCCTTAGCAGGTGCACTTGGCAGCTCTTCCACTTGTGAGGCTCCACTGTCCGAGATCTTAGGACCAGCCTCCACCTGGTACTTTCTGAATTGTATTTTAGGACTGTTTTTCATCACAGCTCCTTCTTTGATGTCTAGGAACCCAAGTTTCTAAAAATACTCTGTGGATCGTGGAGTTCTTGTGACTCTGGAAGTGTGTGTGAGGCCGTACGAGTTGAGGACAGACAAAAATGGTGCTTTCACAATTCAGAGCCCTGCATGGCCAAGTTTTCCTTTTAATAGCATGTCCTTCCTGTTTGGGTCATCAGCTCATCAGCTACATGCCACCTCTTCCCAGCAGAGAGAGTACAAGTGTTCTTCTAATCACGACAATAAAGGAATCGCTTCCAACCCAGGGCAGGCTACCACTGTGTCATCTTCCAAAGAGCCGGAGACTAAATCTGGAGAAGAGCTCGTGTGACATGATCTGGAAACAGTTCAATCGAGTGGATTAGGGTTGTGGGCTGAGGGCTGCAGCTCCTTCCCCCACCCCCACTGGGCTAGTTATCAGTGCTGGACATTACTCTGAATCCTCTAAACACGGGGCATTTGGCAACAACGCACTTTTGTGCTGTCCATTTCAGCACACTGCATAATAAATGTAAAATAAATTGTGTGCTAACAAATGGAAGATTTAAATGGGGGAAGACCCATTAAAAATGGGAGATTCTTAGAAGAGAGAGAGTTAATTTTTTTAACTGCTTTGAGTATGAATGTACTACTCAAAGGATGGATGGATGGCCGCGCTAGAACACAGCACAAAGCACAGGAGGAGGAGAGAAGTTCGTCCCAAGATCCCAAGTGCCCAGTCAGATTCACAAAGTGGGGAAAGGCAGCCCAGTGGGTTCTGCTTTTATTCCATTTAACCTTACTTTGGGTATGCACAGCAGGAACCCACACATCTGTCACAATAATAATAAAAGCAACTAATATTTATTATTTCCTGTGTTTCTAGGAATATGCTGCTAGTACTTTCTGAAGCTGATCCTTGAACAATGAAGGTTTGAACTGTGCAAGTCCACTTACTTATATGCAGGTATGTTTTCAATAAGTACTTAAAATGTTATTTCTGTTCTTTATGATTTTTTTACTAACATTTTATTTTCTCTAGTTTAGTTTATTATAAGAATACGGCATATAATACTTATAACACATGAACACTTACAACACAATACGTGTTAATCAATTGCTTGTTATTGGTAAGGCTTCTAGGCAACAGTAGGCTCTTAGTAGTTACGTTTTGAGGGAGTCGAAAGTTATACATGAATTTTTGATGCATGGGATAACCTGCACATTGTTCAAGAATCAACCATACATCATCTCAACCCTTAACAAAACATTCTTTCGGGTAGAGACTGTTATTAACCCTGCTTTACAGACAAGAAACTAGTAACTTTTTGAAGGTCCCACAACCAGTAAATGCAGGTAAGTCTGCTTCTAAAAAATCGACACTTGTCTCTACCCCAGGCACACCTGTGTTGTACATACACGGAAGGCTCTCTAACTATACTTTTCTTAGGTCTCTGCTCCGGGGGTGCACACAGATTCTGGGTCTGGGAGATGAGTCATAGGGACTTGAAAAAATAAATGAGAAGCCCTGCTTTGCTACTGGCTCAAGAACCAGAAACCAGTAACTCAAACCTCAACTCTCAGAAGAGTTACTTATCATCTATCCTCCCTCATCCAGTTTGTCTCCACAAAAACTGTTACATTGTAACAAGAGTCACTCTTCAAAAATCTAGGGGATGATAATGAAATGCTTTCAAAACCATTTCTTAGGAATTGCAAAAATGTTCTGCCCTATCTTGCACTTGAGAAGTGGTCATTGTCAATACTATTATTTAAACAAGGTATTATGTCCTTTTCTTTCTAAGGAAGGTCAGCGTGGCCAAGACTAAGGTCTTCTGTGCAGACAGAAGTGAGTGACTTAAACCAGGGCACGGCCAGACACGTGCACACACAAGCACTGGGGGAAGAGGATCCATGAGAACCACTTTTGGCCTCTTTGTTAGTGGTAGGTTCTCGGTTTCCACTGGAATTGGATTCTGTCCCTTAAGTCTCTACTATCTGTTTAAAAGTGTGCCTAAATCTACCTGCCTTAGTAACAATGTCTCTCTAGATGGACATGGATAGCCTCTGGGAAGTTTTACCATGTGGACACCACCAGGCCAGTAGGGCTATTGAGAGTGAGCTGTCTGGATGGGGCTGATAGGACCTTCAGAGGGTCACACACTTGGACCAGCCTCCCGCTTCAGGGCTCCTGGTCCCTGCCGACTGGTCTCCTGGCTTTCTTCCCCTGAACCCTTCCTACCCCAAGTTTACTACCAGCTTTCTGCCTCGGGCACAGAAGTTCCTTAAGGACCTGGACATGGAAACGTATACCATTGTTCTAAGAATCTAGAACATCAGTTCTCAATCCTGGCTGCAGACTGGAATCTTGTGGGGCTTTAAAAACCAACCAAAAAACCCTCCGATGCCCAGCCCCTCCCTCCTACTCCTATCTGCTGGGTTCTGGAGTTTTTTTTAAAACTTCCCAGTGATTCTCTGTGCCACCTGTATGGAGAAGCACTAAAGCTTGTTTTCTTAACAAGAAAATCAATTCGTTGCACCTTTGCACTCATTAAACATCTAAATTATAGAACAGGGTGGGGGATGCATTTGCTTTCCGCAAAAGAAAATTCTAAAAAAATAATGCCTCCTCTGAAACGGAAAGGCAACCTCTCCAGATACTTTCTGTTGGAAGAAACATGTCACCCGTCACAATCACAAAGGGCAATCAGAAGGAAGTGATAAAACAAAAGGATGCTACGGCTGAAATGAAAGGGTAAAGGACCTCTTACTAAATTGCTATTTATTCAGCCGAATAGTATCGTTGCCCATTGGCAAAACAGTGAGTCCACCCATTTTTAAGGGCAAATAGGAATTTGTTTTTTCCTCCCGATAATTTTCCCCTTGGCGGAAAAGGTGCTTTGGCTGGCTGGGGACCGGCCCTTGGCCAGTGCAGGTAAAGAGGTGTGAACGTCCCTGCTGACTGACCTTCCTCCCCGAGGCCCTGGCTCCTTTGCTGGCAAAGTCAAGAATGAGGCAAAGGGCCTAATCCAGGGTGGTTTCAAGAGGAGCATGAAACCCCCACATGAAGGTAACTGACAGCAGCCAGGAAGATCCCGAGCCCCTCTGCACCGCTCCCCACGCCCTGCACTGGCCAAGTGCAGGTGGGCGGCTGGGGAAAGGTGAATGGCTGACATGCCCCACAGGTGCTCTTTTTTCCAGTCCCTCTAGATTTTCTGGCAAACCCTTGAAAGTCTAAAGGACCTTATGTGGGGCTTGTTTTGTTTTTTACTTTTTATCAGAGCTAGAACCAGTTAGAAGAACCAGTGATGGAGGGAGACAACCAATCCCTGACATACATTCATAAGGGAGACTACAGTCGGAATAAAGATCTAGCCTAGGGAGAGTATTTGGTCCCATACCTCACACAAAATTCACTGAGTTGTCTTTTCCAATGAACTTGACCCCATTACATATACATTAACCCTTCATTTCAAAAAGGTTTTCTTACACACCCAAGTCCTCACTGAAATATTCTGTACCATACAATGAAAATCAAGTCATTATTGAGCTATGGATTGTAAAACCTAGGCTGGTCACATTTTATTCAGATTATTATTATTGCTGTTAAGAAATTACACTCTGCTGAGGTGAAAGGAAATATATTACTTAACATTTAAGGATTCCGAGAGCCTCAGTAATAATGCCTGGATGAACTGATAAAAGCAGCACAGCATTTTAGTGAACTGCCTTTCTTCACAGACAGTAGGACTAAAATGATGGGGATGGATTCCCCTTGTTGGTGAATGTGAAGCATCACACCAACAAGCTTTCAGGCTTCCTGACGGGGAACGAAAACTGTCCCTAACATTTGCTGCCTCTGTTTCTAGGTCAAATTTGTCTTAATATCTAGGTAGCTGGAGCTCATAAATAAAAATATATTTCTCTTCTAAAGTCAGAGTTCAAGTTTCCACAAGTAACTAATTCAGTAGTCTGTTTTTTTTCAAAATTTGGTCCAAATGTCCTAAAGTAATTTGGTTATAATTTTGCTGATTTTGGTCATTGTGAAAAGTAATAATAATGCTGAGATCATAACACAGGTGCAGCCTAGTAAGCAAGAGAGAATTCTTTATTTATGAGAAACTTGGATCGCAACTTCTTATCTCAAAAAGGATGCACTCACAGTGAAAGGCTAAACACCTTCCCAGGGCAGCCAGTGTTAGCAATGCTTTCGTTATGTTGAACCAGGAGCTGACATTTTCTTTTTTGCAAGTGCCACCCAGTGGTTCCAGACTGGCCTTGCATTGCAATAGGAAACCAGAACACACTCCCTCTTCTCAATGACTGTCACCTAAGAGTTGCCCCAGCTCTCACGGCTCTCCTTGGCCATCTCTTCTCTGAGGCCTTCAACCATTCCCTGCATTGCTAGAGTCCTCAACTCCTTTCCAACCTGATCCTACTCTTCTGACTGTGCTTACTTGTCAATATCCCCTTTTCCATGTTTCTAATTGGTAAAAAAAAAAAAGTATTCACATAAATGGCTACAGCAATTAAGATGTTCAACCATCCTTTTGTTGTATAAGTTAACACAGTGTACTGGACAAACACATTAATTCTTACTACCTGATTTAGATTTCAAATTTAGAATAAAAAGTCTCTTTCTCTCTTGAAGTCTCCATCCACTGCTGAAATCCAGGAGGCCCCTCCCTGATGGTGCCACCCTAAATTTCAGGCTGTGATTTCCTTCCAATGCCTGGGTTTTCCAGGCGCATCATCAGGATTTAGAGAAACTCACTGGGGAGACATTCAGTCACAGGTAGGTATATGCTTCCTTATTTTCATACATAGATTTTCCCCCACTCCCTTCAAATTGGTAGGTCCATTGTGTTCTAGAAGTGAATTAGAAAACAGAGAATCCTAAACTGCTTTGAAAATGTCTTTTAAAAAGGTATCGCTGATTTTTGTGCCAGTCATAAACTTTACAGATAACTGAATCAGAAGCCAACCAGTCTGAGGTTTTGGGCCCTGGTTCTTTAACATCAGATAGGAAAACAATACAGAGCACCACCCTGTGGTGAGGTGGGGGAAGTGCAGCGTCCGCATTCAAGGAGCCACAGGCAGGGAAGACTAGCCCCACCCCAGACTTCACGCGTGTGAAATTCAGAAACGGGAAAGCTGTGCTCCAGTAGCCATGGCTCCCTGAGATGCTAACCGTGACAACATGATGCCTTCCCTAGGGAAACACACTCCCGACACGGAACTAGTGTCGACATTGGGCAGGATCTGCCCATCACTGTTGCTGGCAGCGCTCCCAGGTGTGCAAAGGGACTGGGAGGTGCATGCCTGGGTTCCTCACCTGAACCTCTGCTGCCTTTTCCTTTTTTCTCCTGCTCCCTGAGTCTTGCACAGAACCCCATATACTACTCAGAGGATTCCACACCATGTGACTGGATTCCTTTTGGGGAAGCAGGTTTTCTCTAACGTACATGTTTATCCTCCACACAAGAAAACAGTGACCCTCCCCATCCTCACAAGTCCCTGACTTTAAACCCACTCTAATACCTCTGACATTTTATAATAATAAAATTATTTTACAGTAAGAGATATACTTTAAACTTCTATGTGTGTCCTATGTGCAAGTTATTTATTAAAAGTAGATACACTTTTAATTTTAGTAATTCATTAATGAGAGACAACTTTTCAGAGGACTGCTTTATATAAGGGAATTAGGGGGTTGTTTTTCAGTTTTTTCCACTACCAACTGAACGTGTAATTAAATTGAAAATTTTTCCTTCCAGTTAGAGAATCAGATCCCTGAAAATTCTGACAATCTTGTTAGTACTAACTGCTCTGTTATCTGACTGATTTCTTTACTGAGCAAGTAAAAAATACAATAATATGTTATTAGCTTAATAGCAGCATAAACTTTCTTCTACTGGGCAATCATCACGAAAGAGGGATTACATTAACGCAGGTGAAAATAATTTTTTCCTCTTAGAGAAATGTAAATTCTCAACTTACCTGTTTTTTTTTTTTTAATTTAGAAAACAGAACAGTGAACTATACCCAGCCTACATAGTAAACCTACAACCTGGCTCCATACTACATAAACTACATCTTTTCACCTCTCTACCACCCTTTCTCTCCTACTACATTAAGGAGAGAAAGGGCAGTAGAAAAGTGAAAAGATGAATGATAGGAGGAGAAAATGAGAGAAGAAGGCAGAAGAAAGGGAGAGCAGCAGACAGGAAAAGGGAATGAAAGGATGAGCAGTAGCCAGGGGAGAGGCGGGCAGCGGGGAGTGCAGACACCAGAGCTGAACTGGACTTTCCCTGTGGAACTTCCCTTCGGTCCTGGAGCTGCAGGAACCTACGTGGGGCAGAGCGGATCACTCTCCTCTGAAAGTGGGTGAGCTGTGCAGTGCACCTCACAGCTTTCTTAAGTCTAACTTTTTGATCTGGAGAAGGCCCCCCTTTAGAGGGACAGTCACCATGAAGGACATTGAGAAAATTCCCCTCTGGGCCCAGATGGTAGTGACCTGAGCGAGGTCACTGTGAGCCACAGAAAACTGAGCTGAGACTCAGGTCTGGCTCTAGGGCTGAGGGAGCAATCCCAGGCCCATGACCTTTGACAAGGGCTTACCTCCTCAACCATCTGCTTGACTTTTTTCTGCTGGCAATGTACCATGTCATCTAGATGTCTGATCCGTTCCCGGAGGCTGGCGGATGCCTCCTCCAGCTGCTGATACCTAACACAGACAGAAAAGAGTAACTGAGTCCTGTACCAAAGTAGCAGCACCAGTACAGGAAGTCATTGCTTGAAAGGAATGTTGCTGAGAACAAGGAAGGGAACCGTAAGATTCACTTTAACTTTGTGCTAGCCTGCGTGACTGACTACTCCTCAGCCACCCTGCCATAGAAGAAATACTGGACTCTTTTTCAAGTTTCCATTTGTAAGTTTTACCCTGTGGAAGGTCAGTTACTATACTGGTCAAGCACTGAGAGAGAACTTGTTGGTACCACTTACAGGTATGGGAGACTCTGTTTTGTAGTGAATACAATATCAGAACATCCAGTGAATTACCTTGATCAGGAAAGCAAAGGAGGAGAGACATCTAGCAACACAACAAAATATCTAAAATCAGAGTTCGCAACAGAGTCCTGGGAAGTCTGGAATTATAACTGTTCTATATATGATTATTTTGAAAAAATGTGAAACATGTTGAAAGACCTCCCTGCAGCAAAATGGAGTGAACCACATCATAAAACATTTCACACTTTGGCTTTAAAAAAGCAAAAATTATTCTCTGGCTTTGCTGGTTTCAAATAAACCAAAATAACCAGCAGAGGGACTCTTCAGTTCTTGGAGGCCTCTGGACCAGAGCACGGGGTCAAGGGTGTGGTGGGAGCTTATCTTGTCCCACCTCTGCCAGGCCCCACCTCCGCGCACCACCTAAAGACCAGGGAAGATGCCTATAACTTCGCAAACACTGAAATTGCATAAGAGGAAGGAAAAGAGGTATTTTTTTTCAGCAAATGCTATGTGGCCGGCAATACACCCAACAATTCCCTCACAGTGGCGCTGTGAGATGGGCGCTGTTAAAATCATCACGATCCCCCCTCCTCCTTTAAAAAAGAAAAGAATTCCCATTTTCCAGAGAGGCAGAGAATCTCAGGGAGGTTAAGTAACTTCACCCCAACCTTGCTCTCCTTCACCAGAGGGCTATGCGTGGCCTCCCGGCCAAAAGAGACCAGACCGTGAACTACTTCCACATTTTCCACACAAGGCTTTACATGCTCAGAGACAGGGGACAAGGTGATGTTTGACCAAGCAATGTTTGGAAACAAGGAAAGACATTTTAAAATTAGTGTCCGTGACAATGATACTAATCACAGTTGACGTTTCTCATTCACAAGGCACATCCTGTGGAGTTCAAGGTTACAGAGAACCCTGATAGACCAAACTTTTGCACTTGTGACAGTGCAGAATGAAACTGTGCCCCACTGCACTAACAACCAGCCACAGGCCATGGGATGTGGCTGCTAAGCTCCTAAAGAAACCAGCTCCGTACTGGAAGGGCTCAAGCAATGTTTCTGCACGTGTAAGTCTGCAGAAGAGATGACCAGAGGAGAGCAAAATGAACGGGCCAAGTGAGTCCCCAAACACATGGTGCGCCCACCACCAAATTCCATTACAAGATAAAGGGCACTGCATCCTCTTACCTTTCATTGTCAGAATCAGTTATTTCCCCTGACATTTCAGTTTCATGCTCCAGGAGCTGTAGCTGCAGCTGATGGCGTTCCTAAAACAGACAGACACTACTTTCATCAGTGGATTAAACCAAGTTGGACAGAGAATGTGTATCTCTATTATTTCCAGCACTAGTGAGTCCGAGTCCATATAAAACACCCCATGGGTTTTACATACCCACTCACCAGAGTCTAAACAAAGCTCAAAAATGCCAGATTTATTGCTGTGTTTATAGGTATATTTATGAATTAGAGCCAAACATCTCAGATAAAGCCATTCAAATATTCTGTCAGTCTAGGCTCAGGTGTCTTGTGAAATTATAGTTCTAAATAATGATAATCAATGCTTTAAGTCAGTGGCCTGTGACACAGCAAAATTCTTGATGATTTTCTCTATCCCCAACAAAGAGGCTCTGGAACTCAGCCTGTACACTGAGTGTTTACACAGGCAAGTTCCCTTGTAACACTGTGCTGTGGTAGTTAGAACAATGGCTCCCAACCATGTCCGCATCCTGCTCCCTGACACCTCTGAATGTGTCGTCACCTTTACATGGAAAAGGGAACTTTGCAGACGTGATGAAGTTAATGGGGGCTCTTATTGGAAGGAGCCCTAGAGTCGGAGAGAAACAGAGGCTGGAAAACGCTACATGCTTCAAAGCTGGGGTGTGGGCCGTGAGTCAAGGAATTTAAGCAGTCTCAAGAAATGAAAAAGAAGGCTGGGAAATGGTTCTCCTCTAGAGCTTCCAGAAGGAACCCAGCCCCACCAGCCCATTGATTTTAGAACTTCTGACCTCCAGAATGATAAGGTAACAAATTCACATTGTTTTAAGCCACTAACTGTGGTAATTTGTTACAGCAGCAATGAAAAACTAATACATACATCAAGCTGTGCATTAAGATTTGTAAATTTTGCTGTTTATATGTAAATTTAGACGTTTACTCAAAAAGCGATACAGAATCTGGACAATTACATCTTTGGAGAGAGTGGAAAATGTTAATAAAAACGCAGTTCCCCTCATAACCAAAATTATATTAGAAATACATTACCAATGTTTGTGTAATAAATTTCCTTCAAACGAACTCTACCAAAGCCTGCTCACTAACTGGGAGGAGACTGTTTTACTTCAGGCCCCTCCTCTAAGTACTACTGTGCCTCATTCTTTATTCTCAGAAACGCTCCCCTAACAAACTCTTACTCCTCATATAGATTCCAAACCTCTTTTCTGCCAAATGATTAAAAGCAAATCTTTGAAAAGTCAAGTCCCACAGCATCTGAAGCTCTCAGCTGTGATATACCAAGGGACAGACCCAAGAGGTGGGAGCAGCACCCTGACAGGAAGAATGTATCGCCATCGATGTGGTCAGAGTCATAAAGGAAGACCAGCTTTGGGTGGGGAGCTGTTTTATTTCTCAGTCTGTACAGCAGATGCACGTTCTTGGTGCCCAGCTACAGCAGAATGCACCCCTTACCTCCAAGTGCTAGGCTATTGGCTAGAAGTTTAGTGATGAACCTTTCACAAGTGAGCCTTCCCATCAGTCCCCCCAAAAAGCTGTCATAAAGTAGGCAAGGCCTCATTCATAGCATACTTTAAAAATTCAAGCCCTGGCTGGTGTAGTTCAGTAGATGAGCACCAGTCTGCAAACCAAAAGGTCCCTGGTTCAATTCCCAGTCAGGGCACATGACTGGGTTGTAGGCCAGGTCCCCAGTAGGGGAGCACATGAGAGGCAACCACACACTGATATTTCTCTCCCTCTCTTTCTCTTTCCCTTCCCCTCTGTCTAAACAAATAAGTAAATACAATCTCTTTAAAAATTCAGTATGTGTCTAAATTGAGGTAAACCAAATTATAAGTGTACACTGTCCAATAATTCCTTACGTTTGCATGTACCTGACAACCTGGTGAAACCACCACCCAGATCTAGGCGTCGAGTATTAGCTAATCTGCAGAAGGGTCCCTGGGAGAACATACTCCTTTAAAAGACTGTTACTGACCAAAGAAAAGTGTTCTGAATACAATGCTCAAAAAGAGAAACTGAAAATTAAGGTATATAATAGAGGCCACTCGAAGGCACACAATCTGTCTTTGAGCAAAACCCCACACTCGGTGCAGGCAGGACACAAACACTGCCTCCCTCTGTGCCTGTGGACATGCTGCTCACACAGCGAGTGACACGGACTTGGCACAATTCCTGCTCGCAAAGATTTATCCCTGACTCGGGAAAAGCAGTCAGTCGGTGCCCTAATCTTAGCTAAATAAAGCAAAGATTTCTCCAGGCTAAATGGAAAAGAAGATTTAGGGAAAGAACAATAAAATTTCAATCACTAAAGAAAAAGCCATCAGGATTCAGGAAACACTTCACATTACATGGATTCTGGCAGGGAGGGCTGGCCTTACCACCACCCCGCCTCCCCACCCCGGGCCCCTACCCATCCACCCATCACGGGGGCTTCACAGGAAATCAGGGGAAGAGAGGGAAACTCTCCAAATTCCAAGGGTACAAAGAAGATAAACTGTAAAACAGATCGAGCTTTAAAAAAAAAAAGCTGACTCCGGTTAGACACTTAAGCAAGTCTGTAACAACATGAAAGTCAGAGCCCCGATGTCTGAGCCCCTACTATGCGTATGCCAGTCACTGCATTTAACACTTGGTATGGATTTTCCTCATTACTCCTCACAAAAGCCCGAAGAATAAAAATTGTGATTATCAGCCTTTTACAGAAGAGGAGACTGAGTTTGGAAAAGACAAGCCACTACCCACACCTAGAAAGAGAGGTGAGACTCAGACCCTAGGTCTGTCTGATTGTAAAACCTAGATTCCTTTTTTTTTAAATCATTTTTATTTTTCAGTTGCAGTTGACAAACAATATTGTATTAGTTTCAGGTGATGAGACATATAATTTTCAAAGTGATCATCCCGATAATCTCATACCCAGCTGGCACCACAGTTATCAGAACTCTGACTGCATTCCCTATGCTGGACTTTACATCCCGATGGCTATTCTGTAACTGCCAACTACCAACTTGTGCTTTTTAATCCCTTCACCTTTTTCACCCGTCCCTGCAAATTGCTCCCACCTGGTAACTATCAAACAGTCTTTGTATCTATGAGTCTGTTTCAGGGTCTTCTTTAAGAATAAGAAAAGAGGTAAAAATATGAATGATAAAATGGCAATAAATACATATCTATCAACAACTGAATCTAAAAAACAAAATAAATGAAAACCTACATTCTCAATCTAGGGACAGAGTCGCCTGTAAGAGAGGCTCCAGCCCAAACCAGCCCCGCCCCCACCTGCTCACCTTACTTCTTTATCCTGCAACACAACCTGTCACCCTTTGGGAGCATCTGTGTTAACACCCACCTTCTGCTCTTGGAGGAGAGTGGTAATACAGAGAACGCTCTCCCAAGTTCTAGACCACGCCCCCGTTGCCTGACCTTCACTGCCACCACCTCCAACTCTAACGGTGGGACACTGGAACCCACCCCTCCATTCTTTTGACGTTGTTTCTGGCAGTGCTGACTCTGACTGATACGTAGCTTGTAGATGAACAGCATGGTTGTATAAGAATCCTAGGAACTAGTTTCAAAAGATACAGGCCCTGACCTTCACACACCTCAGCTCTGGGAGATTTGGTGACCTTCAACCACGGAGGCAGGATGACATGAAGTCATGATGAGATAAACCCGTGATGGCTAAACCAGGATGATGCACACCGGACCGTCATCTGACTTATCGGAATGCACTGTGCTCGCCTGCATGTAGGGAACTTTGCAACCCCCTCCCCCTTGATCTCTTTGCTCTGCTCCCCCCTCCCTCCTTATAAAACACCTCTGCCTCCAGCAAGAGGTGGAGATGGGCTTTGAGACATGAGCCCCTCATCTTCTAGATGGTCAGCGTCTGCAAATAAGCCTCCTTTACATCAGCACCTGCCTCTCAAGTACTGGTTTTCACAGTGAGGGACAGCTGGACCTATGTTTGGTTATGGAACCAATACTGACAGTCTTAACCACGTCATTTATCTCCTCTTCAATAAAAGAGAGGATTCTGCTTTCCCAAGGGCTACAGGTGATGTGGTAATTGACTCCTTAGTTGTTCAAGTCCTTCCCAAATAAAGACGTTCCATAACATGGGGACCTGCAGCAAGCCCTGAAGCTCCACGGTACTGAATTTAATGTAGGTCTCACTCTGGTTAAACTTCACCGTGTTAGGGGAGGAGCTGAAGCTGCAGACATCAGGGGTAAGGAGGTCTCTTCTCAGAAGAAAGCCCAGATGTGGAGCTTGCTCCCATTGTCATCCCCCTCCCTCCCCTGTTAGCCTAGAGAATCTCGGCACCTAGCATGAGGACAGGGTGCTAGTATGTCCCACCGTCCTGGCAAGTCGCCACTGTTCTGCAAACTCACATGCAGCTAGAGAGCCACTTTCCAGAAAGCAGTCCCAACGTTGGCCCTCAGCTACCACCCCTCCCCCAGGAGTCAGCTGTCACCTGCGAAAGGTCACCCTCCTGTCTTTTCCCCCTCCCTTCCTTCCTTTTCTCTTTCCACTCTCCACCCTTTCTTCCCTTTTCTCCACTTCCTGCCTAACCTCTGGCCTCCTCCCTTTCTCTAGGCTCATTTCACTGTCTCAGCTGAACTCCCGCCTTCCCCACACATCCCACTAGTCCCACCTTCGGCATGCCTACCCTACCCACAGAGAAGTGTGGTGTCCCTCACTCTGAGATGTGACATGTCGGAGAAAAGCTAACCCTTTAGACACATGCCTCAGAAACAACAGGCTTAGGGAGTGGAAATAATATTTAAATAGGGCTTGACCACTCAACAAATAAACTAAGTTTACGCTTGAGGGCCTGGCAAAGCAGGGTCACTCAAACATTCATTTTTGTAAATAATTTAATATTTAATGTTTTTTAAAGCATCAAAATAGTTACCATTGAAAAATTAGAACTTTCTTGGACTTCCTCATACTGTATTTTACAGTTTTGTCTTTTTTGGAACTCATATACTGCAGGGCTGAGAGGTGTCAGTGTCGAGGGGAGCCCAGACCTTCAGAGAGGCCTGCAGGGGAACTGCGGAAGCACAGTGGCATCTGGGCTCGTGGCAAGAGCCAGAAACTGTGTCTGTTACCTTTTCCATGCGTTCGATCAGCCTGTCCAGCTCCCCAATCCTCTGGTCCTTCTCTTCTAGGCTGATCTCTGCCGCCTGCATCTTCTTATTGGCTTCTTCAATCGCTTTCAGAAAACTATTGGTTTCTTCCTGAAAAAGCAACACACTGTCCTCAGCAGAGCTGTGGACCCTAGGCTACCAACCAGGGTCTTGCTAAGTCACGACGCCTCTTTAAACGTGTGACTTTGGGGCCTAGATTTTGAACTCACAGATCATGAACTCAACTTCCATGATTCTGATTCTCCTCTATAAATAAAGACACATCACTGGCTTTTTAATACATCTATTTTCCCCCTTGAGTCCTTGTGTCTAAAAAGAGCCTGCAATTATTATTTATCCCTTGACTAGATGCTCAGAATGTCTGTATGTGCCAACAATGTAAAGTAGATTAAGGCCAGATCTGGGGTTGAATGCGGAATGGCCACATCTTTCTCCCTTATAGCAAAGCACCAGCTCAGTCAATCATTCAGCACATTTATTATGCCTGTAAGGTTATGGCAGACATGGAGTCCGTACCTTCAAGGAACCTATACTGCCCTAGCAAAGCCAAGATGTGAGGCATATGGCCCCACTCTAATAACAGGTGTGACAGAAGGCCACAGCAAAGAACGGGACAAGCCTGGGGGCTTCCCAAAGGCAGGGATACCTCTAGCTGTGCAAAGGGAGCGGAGGAGCAAACAATAAATGCCTTGGCCCTTTGTCCAGTAGTCAGTCCACTAACTCACCTCCAAGAAGAAGCCCTACTACAGGGGTGGGCATAAGTAGGTTTATAGTGGTGATGCATGAAACATAGAGTTTATTCTTACATCCTTTTTTATTAATCATTGTATTATTTTCCATATAAACAACTGTAAACTTACTTTTGCCCACCCCTGTACTTAAAGCTCACTGACAATAATGGTCCAAGAACTCTGTTCTCCCCTGTGCAGCTACAACAGACACACCAGGAGCGCCTCTTTCTCGGCGTTGTGCTTCCGCTGCTCCTCACACAGCTTCTCCTCATACTGGCTGTACAGCTTCCTGGTCATCTCCCTCATCACCTCGGCGTTGGCTTCATGGGAGGACTCCACCTGCAGAGAGACTCATTTCAGAGCGACAGCTTTTGCAGGTACCAGGGCATCAACTCTTGTCACTCTGTATGTACCATCATGTGCGGACACACAGAGGAGTGGACCCATCGACTAGCTAGCCCGGAAGCAGACGAGAGGTAGCAGAAACTAATGTCAAAGGACAGGAGACAGGAGGAAAAAAGGTGAACAGATGCATAGAAAGGAAAACATGGCACCTAAAGCTAATTTACTTGATATTATCAGGAAAAGGTGCTCTGCAGGAGTGAATTTTTCAAAAGACAAGAACTTACCTAAGTATTGAACCAGCCCCCCAAATTTAGCCATTTTTAAATTGCATTCTCTCCAAAATGTGGCCATGCTCCAGAATGTTATTAACCTATTTCTTAATGACTTTTCTGTCTATTTTTATTTTGATCCTGAAATTTGATTATTTTTTATTCTATCAGTTTTAATAAATCTTTTCCTCTGAATAATTGGTCCTTACCCTAGTTTGGCCCAAGAAAGATGTTCTTTTTTAAATCCTTGAGTATTCTGTTGCTGGTTGAGAAACTACCTTATTAGAATTGGGTCAGAGTAGAATAAACTATAAAATTAAAAAGTTATCTGTAGGAGGAAGGAGGAAGTAAGAAAAGAAAGGGGACATTACAGATATAAACATTCAATTCCTGAATCTACTTTGTTTTGTAGTACTGACTTTGAAACCAAATAAATAATTTACCTGTTCAAAAAAACTAAACTTCAAAAGAACATCTAATCAAGACCACTCAATGGGAACAAAACAGCCTTTTCAACAAATGGCGCTGGCAAGACTGGACAGACACATGCAAAAGAATAACTCAAAAATGGATCAAAGACTTACATGCAAAAGCTAAAACTATAAAATTCTTAGAGAAAAACATGAGGTAAATATTTGTGGCCTTTGATTCAGCAACAGTTTCTTAGACATGACAACAAAGCACAAGTGACAAAAAAAATACATGAGGAAGCCTATAGGATCCTATTGACCAATGCCACCCCAATTTAGGCCTCATAATATTCAATATTAAAGACTTCTGGGCTTTAACAAACAAGCACTGTAATTATAGCTATTAAAATGAAGTTTCTTTACAACAAAAAATGTCTGTGCCTCACAGGATACCATCAAAAAAGTGATGGAAGAAAAAACATTTGGGAGAGTGGAAGAAAATAATTGCAAATTTCCTGTCTAATAACTTGTATCCTGAAAATATAAAGAATAATTACAACTCAATAATAAAATATGAATAACCCAATTTAAAAGTGGGCAAAGAATCTGACAGACACCCCAAAGAAGAGATACCAATGAGCCATAAGCACTAGAAATGATGCTCAACATCACTTGTTACCGGAGACATGCAAATCCACAACGAGAAACCACTTCACACTCACTAGGGTGGTTAGCATCAAGAAGGAAACAGAAACACATGGTGAGAACGTGGAGCAAGGGGAATCCTCTTACACTGCTGGTGGGGATGTAAAATCCTGCAGGCATATCTCTAGGTTGCCTTTCATATTGTTTGATATTTTTCCCCTTATGTGCATACATTACTTTTGAACAAATTATGTCAGAAAAGCAGGGAGACCTTTGAAGAGAAGTTGTCCACATGGAGTTGAAGCTGTCCCATTGACTGCACTAGTCGATCACTGAAACATTTTCACCTGGTTTGGGCAACACTAAGCTGGGAGTTGCTTGTGCCTCGGGCAGGCCCAGTTTAGGAGATGAGGAAAAGTCAGTGGAGTTGTGGGCAGGCAGGACTTAGGGTGGAGGCAGCCCTGTCTTCGCCTGTGACCTTCATGTCTGTGACCCTTACCTTCAGCTCCTTGTTATTCTAGAATGCTGAGTCTAACCCTGGATAAGTGAGATGTAGTACAATCTTGACAGGTTGCATGATGTTTACTCAAAGATGCTATCTAGGCCCTGGCCGGCCCCAAGGTTGCAGGCTGGATGCCCGGTTGGGGCACAAGCAAGAAGCAATCAATGAGTGCATAAATAAGTGGAACCACGAACTGCTGCTTCTTTTTCTTCCTTTCTCTCTCTCCTCTCTAAAACCAGTTTTTAAAAAAAGATGTCCCCTAACACCCCCTTCTTGTCACTAGACATATTTTGGTACCCAGAGGCCATAAAATGGAAAATCCCAAACAGAGGTTATCATCAGCTGAGGGAGACCCAGTGCATCCTGCACCCTATTTCCACCGCAAACACTGACTTCTAGAAAGGCCTCCATCCCTCGAGTCCTGTTTCCTCCACATCCAGGTCATGGGAAACACTCTAAGTCTTGTAACTTTATTTATTTGGGAGGTAAAGGGAAGCCTTAGTCTCTACAACAGGCAACTGTGGGCTGGATCTAGGGGCTTAGTCTCCCTGAAAGGAGCCAGACTGCCAAATGGACTAATGACGCACCCAGACGCCTTGTAACAGTGTACAGCCAAGAGGGGGGCCCCAAAAAGGGATTTGGAATGGGGTCTAGAACTCAAGGTATCTAGGAAATACTGGAGAGACATATGGGATGTCCTCACCCCTTCCCCCACAGGTGTGAGTTTGGGGAAGGGGGACATGGAGCAGGAACATGCAGGGCTGTTTTGTACAGCCACAGCCTTGCAGCTAATCCATGGTATGGTCACTTGGTTGTGTTAAATAGCTTGGTTGTGTTAAATGTCGGAAGGTGTGGAGCCAGGGGGATGGAAGTCACTTTCCCCCAAGATGGAACTGGGGGGCAGGTCCCCTGAGTTACAGCACCTGCATGAGAACTTAGAGATGATTGGCTCTACACCTTCTGACATGGGGCCGCACCTGCCCAGACTCACAGTGGCGGCCCAGTAAACCTGGAATAATACAGGAATGCTGGCAAGTGTAGTCGTTTGTAGGAGGAGTTGGAAATGGGGCTGCAAAGGAGGACTGGCTCAGGGATTTAAACCCAGACACGGCAGCCATTTAAGGAGAGTGAACCACGTGGCTGTGGCAGTGCAGAGAGAAAGCCATGAGCTTCTGGTCAGAGTGGGGACCCCTGCAGCTGAGGGTAGAGAGAATCACCATGCGGCTTTAGCAGAGAATTGCCACTCGGCTTTGCCAGACTGGTGACCCAACCCCCTCTGCAGCTCTGGTAGAACAGGACCACATGGCTTTGGGGTGCTCCCTTTGGCCACGTGGCCTGGAAAGCAGGAGAGACTTTGCCTGAAAGAAGGGTAAAAGCACTCTGCCAGTAGGCCATGAGAAGGTGCCACATGGCTTTGGAGTAATTAGAGATCCTGCCTGGACAGCGACACAGCTGATGGTGCCAGGAGCCTGCAACAGGGATGTGTGCTTCTTTTCCTGAGTTACGGTACCCCAAATTAGGGCAGGGGAGAAGGGAGTGCTGTGGGTATCTATGGGTATCCAAAAGGACTTTGATATTTTAATGGGGACATTGGGTCACTACTTTAAATCTGTGTAGCTTTAAGTAAACCTTTCCTTTCCTTTTCACAAATCTCTGGCACTAAGTGACGTCCTTCCTCTGGTGGTGGACAGACGAGCCCAGTAGGTGGTCTGGACGGTATTAGTATACTGTCCTTGGGGAGGAACCCCTGTCATTCTGTAACAGTTTTTTGCATCCCTGGGTGGGCCAAATATGGGCCCCCCTTGGACCTCTGTTCGGTAACAGCCCAATGCCAGCCCTGGGATAAACAGGAAAGCTTAGGACAGACACACATAGTGACATTCAATACTGGGTGGGGCAAAAGTAGGTTTGCAGTTGTTTGTATGGCATATTAATAAATAATTAAAAAATAATAACAAGAATTAACTGTGTTTCACATACTCACAATGGTAACCCTACTTTTGCCCACCCTATATTTGTAGAGTGAATGACTGGATAAAGCTCCTGAGCTGGGGAAAAGACTTAAAACAGTAATTTCAGACATTTTTGGAAACACTCCTCCTTTTCCCTTTTTTTCAAAGTAACTCTCACTCAGAAATATAACCTGTGAAACAGTAAGAAGAGCAGCTGCGCTTGAAGCAAAAGTAAAGAGGAGATGAATGTTCTAGAGCTCTCCGTCCCCTCCTCTCCCCAGGGGACTTGTCCCTGGCGAAGTGGACTGTGATGGAACAACCCACTGACAGCCATCACAGGGACTAGCACTGCGGTGGGGCAGCCCCTCCTCCCCATTTGAGAAAGCCCACCGGGAGGGAGCCACACACCCCAGTCTGTTCCCCAACTACATTCTTAATAGCACCACCATTTACTCCCAAATCTATTCTGGTTTGAGCAGTAAGCTATCTGGATACACTACCGACAAGGCCCTCTCTTTTAGGGTCGCCTAAGGCTGAGTTTATTACAATTTGAAAACCACAGATTTAACTAAAGATGAATTCATTCAGGAAACAAATTGTTGAGTGCCTTCTGTTTGACCTTCCTGGGCCTGCTCCTGCCATGGGGTAGGAAATCTACTGCTGTTTCAATTCGGGAGGGCATCAGAAGCCCCACAGTGGAATACGCACAGCCCGGTGGGCAAGAGGGACACCACCCAGAGTCCTTGGTCACGCATCGATTTTCTTTGTGTGTGCCATTCAGCTCTTTATTGTCAAGCCACACTGACAGGACCAGGGCCTTAGAGGAAATCTGAACAGTGAAGATGCTGAAGTCCCAGGCCCAGGGGCATCCCAGTGCCTCTCAGCGCTTAACAGCAATGCCACGATGCCTGTCTCAGCAGCCCTTGAGTCCTGGGCCAAGGCAGGAGTGCCCAGTGGGGCGTTTTATGGGGCAGCCCCAGTCTGGACTGACAGGTGTGAACACAGAAACCTCCAAGGTGCCTCCAAGCCAAGCCTTGCGGCCACAAAAGGGTGAGAAAGTCAGCAACGAGAACAGAGAGGAGGAAACAGCAGAGGTGAGGATGAGCACAGAAAGGGGAAGGAAAAAGGGGAGAGGTTAGTAGGAAATGGCCCCTACCCACCCCGCCTTTACCTTCATTTTCAGCAGCTGGTTCTCCACTTGCGCGGCCTCCAACTGCCTCTGCTTTTCCCGCAGCTTGTCCATGGACGCTTCGTACGTCTGCTGCAAACTTCTGATTTGATCCTTAATGCTGCTATTTTCCAAAGTGACATCCACAAGCGTTTTCTAATGGGGTGAAAATAAAAACAATAGCAGATCTCGTGGAGTGAGAAAACATGACCAGAGTCACACAGGCACTGCGGCATCTTGGTCATCAACCATCTGAGGTAGAGGTCAGGCCACCAGAGACACAAGCTGGGGACCCTGCTGTTTGAAGGGCTGAGGGCCCCCCGGTGGTCAAGAGGCCTGCCGCTCTGTGTAGGTGGACGAGTGGGGACCCTTCCCCCGAGCACCTCCCAGCTGCTGCCAATGCCACTTGCTCAGGATAAATGGAAATGAAGTAACATGCAGGCTTCCAAGGAAAAGGGCTCATAATACATCATTTCACATGAAAAATAGTCACTACAGAACAAACTCATTTAGAACAATGTTCAAGCACTTGTTCAAATGTGTTTATATAGAGAAAATTTTAAAAGACTAGGAAGAAATTCACCAAAATCCAAATAATGATTTTCCCTCTGAGATAGGATTATAGGTGACATTTATTTTCCTCTTTGGATTTTCTTTATTTTCCAAAGTCACACAGTGAAATCAGAAAACAAAAGAGGTGTTTTGTAGAATAGAGATGTTTTTCCTTCTGTGCTTCTAGACTTGCTTGCAAGGACAGAGACAACTTGGCTGAGCCTGCTCTAGAGCCTGCAAGGGCTTCCCTTGCTCCCGCGGGCAGAGAAGGGTGGGGGTGAAGGAGCGCCAGGAACAGAGCTGGTGACTCAGACGAGTGCCTGACAAGTGTCCAAAGCCTGTTGATTATAGTCCCGGCCACCCACTGGAGTAAGAATGTTTAAATGAGTACTTATGCCTCGAATTCTACTTACTTAACTCTCCTTACAGAGAAACGGCTTCCTTCCCAGAATTCCTACACTGGACGCTGAGTTCTGGGCACCTTCTACCACCTCCCCGCCATCAGCCGCTATTTTAAATCGGGAGATTTGGAAACTCTGGTGGTGGACACACTGTCTAACACCTTTGTCCTCTTTGTAGAGGATCAGTGTCTAAACCTCCCTCCCCCAAATCCCTAGCCTCTACTTTGGGTAAAAAGCCTCACTCCTAAACATACTTGAATCAGAGAAAGAACCTTCAAAGGTAATAAATACGGAAGCCATTTGGAATCACTGTACAATGCAGCCATAAGAGGCTGCAGAAATGACGTGGTCCATCCATCCCTTTCTAGGCCCCACTGGCTTTCCCGATACTTCTCTTGTGCTCATGAACCTACCTCTGGCCCAAGAGACCACGGTTCTAGTCCTGGCTCTGCCACCAGGCAGGCACCTGTTAAAGTCATTTCCCTCATCTGGCCTCGGTCTATGCATCTGTAAAATAAGGGGGTTGGCATCCCCCTTTCCAGCTCTGATGTTCTATGAAATCAAACCAAGGGTCTGGTCTCACGGTACATAATGATGAAAATGGGGTAGCACAGGCAATCGAAGACGCTGGGGCCTTGCAGAAATAAGAAGCCAACTATCTCCAGACTCCACTGAGTTTCCTGGAGATGGTACCATTATTTTCTGCCTTTTTTCCCTCCTTTGTTTCTGCTTCTTCCCCTTCCTCCCCTTCCTCCAGTTCTTCTTCTTCTTTTTAACAATGACTTTTAATCTTTTCCCTTAAAGGTTCCTCCGTCGGCCTGAAACTAGGGGGCTGGACCATAACCAGAATCAGTCAAGGTGCCTGGGTTATGGAGGAGCCTGTGCTGACAGCTGACCTCTGAAGTAAATGTCTGGAGTGTCAGTAGCATCGCAAACCAGAAGTACCATGGGTAAGAAAACCCAGGAACTTAGCACGGACACCAAGCAGGGTGAGCTCAGGTGAGGGACTGCATTTCCTACTTGGCCAGGAGTGAGAAGAAGTCCAGGAGAAAGGAAAGGGAGCCTTGACGAGACCCCCGAGGGCAGGAGTCAGGGAAAACAGAGGCCACCGAATACGGTAGGGCTTGGCCTGCGGCCAGCGCACAACGGGCCTGCACCGTGGAAGGCCAGGAAAAGGGTGGGACGCAGAGGCCCCGCCAGAAATGGGCCTCCCAGACAAATCCAAACAAGGGGCCCACCCAGGCCCGCTGTGGGACGGCGGCCTAGCTTTGTCTGTGGCCCCGCTGCCCCAACAGTTGTTATTAGAGAATACTAGCTTCTAAGGGAAGTGGATAACCCGAACATGAACATGTGTTTGCTTATCTGATAAACTATTTATATACAACCAGAGAGGATATGAAATAGCTTATGGAACTTTTAAGAGAAGGGTAAAAAGATAAGAGCCAAATAAAGTTGGAAGCAGGGCAGAAACTATTGTTTGCATATTTGGAAACTAAAGCCAAGGGACACTGTTTCCAGTGAATATATGCTTTGTTTTGGTCATTTTCAAGTTAATTTGCATGTTAAGATGGGAAGGGCTCAGTTGGAAGAATAGCAGTGGGCAGCATCTGAGGGGTAAATGCCCAGCAAATCAAATTAAGACAGCAAGCCCCTTGCAGGTGGTGGACAACACACACTTGCACAAATGTAAGATCCTGGAGCTTTCTGCTTCCCTGTCAGTTACTATAAGAGAGTCTTTAAAATGCACATGATTTCTTTTACTGCAAAATAACTTCTGAATTTGGAAAAAGTGCTTGACCTGCCATGAATGAACACAGATTGCCTTTGGTTCAGTCTGTCTTGTCTATGATTGGGTGGAACTTCCTGGAAACCAGGCCTGCAGAGGGCGGGAGCTGATGTGCTGTTTTAGACACTGACACTTAAGACCACTTGGGTATCTAGTGGAGCAAGTGACCTCTCCATCACAGAACTCAGGACCCAAGCCCCCATTTCACTAAGGGCAAAAGAAATGCAACACGAAGGTTTAGAGCATCGGCTTGGAAGTGCTTCCTGCATCACCTTCCTGGCACAGCCTTCACTGCAGCCACACTTAAAGGATTCCGAGTCCTGAGCTGTGGACATTCTGTTGTGACTTGCGTTTTACAAAGGCACAGGGTCCACTCTAGGCTCAGCTTGCCTGCACTATGACAGAGGGCGACCCATCACACAATGAGCAGTGGAATACCTGCAGGTCAATGGAATCTGATGCCAAAGCCGCGTTCATGGCATTAAAGCTGTCCAGGGCTGATGACTGCGTTTGGATGTGACCCTCCAGATAGTCCTTCTGTGCCTGTGAGACCTGGACAGATGGAAGAGACAGTTAACACAAAGCCAATCCATACACACCTACAATAATCTTTGGTTAGGCTGGAACTGTCTCCTGATAGAAGCCACATCCACATCAATGATATTTCATGCACAGCTTTAAATTGAAACAGTCAACATCTGCATGACCCAGAGATCAGAAAGACAAGAATTCTTTCCCTTGGTTTTACATATCCACCTACTGGGCCACGGCCCTCACAACACCACTGTGCAGCAGCCAGACACTGCCCTTTATAGGGAGGAAAGAGAATCAGAGGATTTAAAGGATCTGCACACAGAGCTAAGAAGTGGCACAGCTGGAAGCAAACCTAGTTGTAGTATCTCCTTGTGCCCTCCTGTTCTTTCTACCTACCACAGAAAGAATATACTTTGGGCTCAGCCAATTCTCAAGAGTCGTTTTATGGCTGCTGCTGTTGTTGTGTTGTCTTTGTTGGGTGTGTGCATTTGACATGTTTGAGAGAGATCATCGGAGACCAGTCTTGAGCTAGACCTTAAAGGAGGACCGCGTGTAGAGAAGCAGGGAGGCGGCAGAGCTGGGGGAAGAGTTCTGGGAAGGCTCAGGGGTGGACCCCTGTGGGGGCCACAGGAAGCAGCCAGGCCCCATACAGAAGGAGGTGCACCCCGGGGACGGGAGACAGTTGAAACAGCAGGCCAGGACCCGGCATAGGTGGCGTGTGCTTGTCCAGGGGCGTGTGCACATAGCAGTAATTTAGCAATCAGTCTGGCTGCAGTATGTGGTGTGGCCAGGAAGAGGAGGAGGCTGTAGGCAGAGAGACAAGCTCCTGTGATAGTTCCAGAATGAGGAAACAAGGGTGTGCGAAGACTTGTTTATGTATCTCTTGCAAATTCAATCCTGTGACATTAATTAAAGGTGTTAGTGTCTGTCAGTGGATAGCAGAGTGAATTTCCATAAGTAGGTGAGAATTTCACAAATCTCTTCCTATACGCTAGGGAGAATGGGCTGGGTGGATATGTTTATAAACCCTTGCCCCTATAATCGAGGCAATAGGTCTTGCTTAAGCAGACACTCTCAAGGCAAGCCTTGAAGTAAACTCTAATGTAATGCATGGCTGTTGGAACTGTGCTTCTGACCTGCAATTATTAAAGCTTATGCAGAGTATGTCATATATACATGGACTCTTTTTCTTCATGATTATTCATCACAAATTTTTAAAAAAATTTTTTCTCACAAGCATTAGTTTGGTTAAACCAGAGGAAGGTTGTCTCTTTTAAAATATTTGCATAGGTAATACAATCACATAGTTCAAGCACTTTAAAAGGTATAAACTAAAATAAATCTCCCTGTGCCATCTGCTCAGTTACCGGCTTCCTCACTCTGCTCCTCAGTCACAGTTCAGCCCTCACCAGGTGGCTCAGTTAGTCAGAGTATCGTCCCAACACACCAAGGTAATTGGTTTGATCACTGGTCAGACACGTACAAGAATCAACCAATGAATACATAAATAAGTGCAACAACAAATTGATAATTTCTCTCTCTCGTGCTCTCTTCCCCTTCCTATTTCTCTATAAAATCAATTTTTAAAAAAGAATCTGTTAATTACTTTCTTCATCATCCTTTTAGCAACTTTTTGTGCATACACAAAACAATGTAGATACATTTATTTCCTGTTTTATGTAAGTGGTAGCACATTATATTTTCTTGCATCTTGCCTTTTCACCATCTACTCTATAATCTTCAGTCTTCCCATACCTTCTTTTGAAGACCTTACTCTTTTTGTTCTCTTTTTATTCTTTTTTCACAAGTCTTTTTTACAACTCTATTATAGAGATAGAATTTCTTTTACCTTCTCCTTCTTAACGGACACTTAGGTTTCCAATGATTTTACTACTGCAGACAATGCTGTAATAACTAAGTTCATACATACATCACATATGTGAGAGCTTATCTATAGAATGAATTCTTAGAAACAGAACTGCTGAGTGAGAGAACATAGGCACCTATAATTCTGGCAGACAGTGGCAAATTGCTGTGCCTAAGAGAAATCCAGAACTACCCCCCGCCCAGTAACCTGCTTCTCCACAGCACTACTGACACGGTGCCTTGTCCCCTCCTGCAGTTTTGCTAATCCGCGGGAGAAAAATCACATCGCAGGATGTGTTCCATCTGAATTTCTCATGGAGAGAGAGGCAGACCATCTAGTCATGCAGCTAAGCGCTCTTCATCTTCCCTCTACTGTCAATTATCGGTAACAAATATTTTGCCTATTTTTATGAATTGTAGGCTTTTTCTTCTTTATTCATAGGTGCTCTTTAAATACTCAAAAAATTGGCCTATTATCTCCATGAAGGGCAAATAATTTTTCCCCGTTTGTCATTTGACAGGGACCATGGTGTTTCTGACGGCACAAGTTTTTCATTTCAGTGTGGTCACGGTTATCAACCTTTTCTTTTTTGGTTTTGGTACTGCATGTCATAATCATAATAATAATAATAAAAGGCTTTCTCCACCACAAGAATACAGAAGAATTCACACATATTTTCTTCTGGCACTTGAAGCATTTGCAAGCTTCATTTTTTGGCATTCGTCTACTTGGAATTTGTTCGTATATAACTGTGCCCCGACAGCAAACACTGACTGGTCCATTTTTCTCCCTGTACATGACATGCTACACTTGTCACACACTGGGGTACATTTCTGGATTTTTTAAATTGATGTCTACTTAAATTTTTAAAATCTATTTAAATTGATTTATATGCCAATACTACTCTATTTTAATCTCCGAGGCATTTTCACTTTCTTGTAATAGTAATAGGGCTAGTTTCCCTCATTGGTATTTTCTACCCAGAATTTCCCCAGCTCTTTGAATTTATTTTCTGTATACTTTGAAATCACCTATTCCAGTTGTAGAAAAAGAGCATAAAATAAAAAAACCATTGGTATTTGGGGCTTGTGTAAAGTCTGTATCCTCAGACATCTCACGGTGCTGACATCTCATGGTGCCGAGTCTCCCTTTGTAGGCACCTGGTATGTCTTTCCATTCACTGCAGCTCACTCCTGGATGCTTGGGAGGTTTTGTGGTTGTTGTTGCTGTTATTTTTTCTAATTCATTGGTTTTTATACGATGAAGCCTCTTTGTATGTTTCTATTAATTTTTTGCCCTGCTACTTTGCAGAACTATTTTATTGTTTATAGTTTTTTTTTTATTGGATCACTTAGGCTTTTGGGGGTAAGTAATTATATAGTTTATAAATAGGGATAGTTTTATATCTACCTGTCCAGTTTTTATACCTCTAAATGTTTTTCTCTTGTTTAATTCCATTGGCTACCACCTCAGACACAATGTTAAATGACAATGGTGACAGATGGCTTCCTTGTCTCGTTCCTGACTTCAGAGGGAATGCTTGGATATAAGGAAGAGCATTCTTGCTACAAAAAAATCCTTTAAATAATCAACTTTATAGTCGGTCTGAAGGTTGTGGGTTATTGTTAAGCTGATTAACATAAATAATAAACTTTATTCTGCAATAAAATTCCCTCGGTTCACCTAAAATATGATTCCATTCATAAATAACACTGTAAAATCAAATATCTTCAGACACTTGCCACTGGGAGGGAGTTCTAAGCACCATCATACCTCACACTCCCACATCACTAAGCTATTGACTTACCGACAGTTCCTGGGTGATCTGTCGAATTTTCTGTCTCATTTCGTCATAGTCTCCATACATTCGCTTCCTTACTTTTTCCAGAGTGGCTCTCACCTGCAGCCCACAAAGATTACCACTAGTTAGAAATCAAGCTATAACATTTTCATGCATGATTTCAAAATCTTTTGAGAAACCCTAATATACAAAGGGCTCCACAAAAACAAAATCTTCAGAACAGACAGTTTGGGAAATTAAGGAAAAAGATCACTCCTGATACCTAATTAGAAACCAAGGGAATTATATTTGAAATAACAGCAAACATTATTATATAAGTCTAGTTATTCATAAGTATTAATTATCCAAATAATAAGCTCTGAAGAAAAATGCTTTGTTGAAATTCACCCATCACCTTCAAAACACAATTCAGGCAAAGTTGACCCCTTTTCCTACCACAAATTTGTTACAAGTAGAAAAATTTTAACAAGTCCACTACAAACACAACACAGGTAAGAGGACCAAAAAACAAAAGCAACCTCTAATTTTCCCCATCCCTGCTCTGACTGCCAAGAAGCACTCCAATGTCTGGAATGTAATGCCGGGAAGTATGAGCCCTGGATAGCCCATAATTTGGAAGTCAGCTCCTCAATAATGACTGATAATAATACACAAGGCACTAAATATAACAGCAGTCAAGGTGATCTCCAAAACACATGTTCACAAAATACTGTTTGAGATTCTCTGCAGTGGCACTTACAAACAGTCCCTGTCCTCTCCCTTCTTCTGGTACCCACGGTGGACAAAGAGCTCAGGAGTCTTCAGATAGAACAGGAAGGAAGTCCCACCCTGACCAGTGTGGCTCAGATGGTTGGGCACCGGCCCACAAAGCAAAAGGTCACTGGCCAATTCCTGGTCAGGGCACATGTCTGGGTTGCAGGCTCAGTCCCCAGTCGGGGAGTGTGCCACCAATCAATGTTTCTCTTTCACATTGATGTTTCTCTCCCCCTCTTTCTCCCTCCCTACGCTCCTCTCTAAAAATAAATAAATGACATCTTTAATTTAAAAAAAGAAAAGGAACAGGGAGTCTCTGGAACTTCTACTACAGGAAGGGCAAAGGCAGCTGTTTGGTTAGAATGACCAGAGGCATATGGGGGACTTAATCTTGAAGCTGCATTTGCAGAATTAGCACATTTTAAAATTAGACTATAAGTTTATTAGGGGTGACTGGATGCTGCTGGAGATTTGGCGGGGGCGGTTAAGATGCCAAGCCTTCTCCAGATGAACTCTAATAATAGTATACTTTTAACAAAATAGAGACTCACAGACACAGAGAACAGACTGACGGTTGTCAGACTGCCAGGGGGCTTGGGACTGGGTGAAAACAGTGAAGGAATTAAACAGCACAAATTGGTAGCTACAGAACAGTCACAGAGATGTATATTATAGCATAGGAAATACAGTCAGTAATATAACGATAGCTATGTATGGGCCAGGCGGGTACCTGAAGCAGGAGGACCTGTCTATAAAGTATATTCTCTAATCACTTTGCTGTACATCTGAAACTAATACAGAATAATACTGAATGTAACTGAAAAATAAAAACTAATAATTGTTTACTTTCTTGCCATTAACTACAAACATTTTGACAAAACGAGGCCAAAATCACTACTTTTCATTGTGGGCAAGCAGAATGCCTTTCATCCTGGCCCTGAGCTGGCCTTCATGCTGCTGTCCTGGGTGGGGTGGGGAGCAGGGAGGTGTGATCTTGAACTGGTGGCAAATACTCAGGAAGCCAGCTGGACCAGAATGACTCACAGCGGGAGATGACAAACAATCCCATAAATGCACAGGGATAAGCAGGCCAGGGATGGATTTGAAGCCAGTTGCAAAAGGGGGGCCTGGAAACTAATTTTAAGTTGCAGAGAACAATGGAGGTGGGCAATTCTGGTCAGAACCACTCCTGTGAGCCGGGCTCATGTCACCCTTGTTCACAGGCAGCCTGAACCTGCTGTCTTGTCTTGAGCGATCTGCAACTCTCCTCTCTGCATGGAAGGTTTACCTCTGAAGCAGTGCCATGTCATCTGGGGCATTTAAATGAAAGACTATGTATTTCCATGAGAAAAATACACCAAACCCAAAATGTCCAAGCTGCTCCTACATGGGAAGAATAAGAATGAGATAGTCTGAAGGTTAAGAATTCTATTTAGGCAGTTGAATGACTGGAAAGTTGACACAAGTGACTGTCCCACATGTCCTGTTCATTTGTATAAGTGTGTAGCTTTTCTGAATTTTATTTTCTCTGTTAAGCATTTATTTTTTAAAGTCAAAATAAGATTTTTTAAATTCCCTGTGATTATACAAGTATCTAAAATGTTCATGAACCATTAAAGAAAATACTCAAACTATTTATTATTTTCAATATTCAATAAGTGTTTTTTTTTAAAAAAACACGTAAAAGCTGACAACATGACTTTGTGTTTTACCCACGAACCCACCAAATAAAATGGGACGCACAAAGCCGGAGGTTTCGATCTCAGGGGTCCCTTCCTGTGCATGAGTTAGCCACATGACCTACGCAGGAGAAAACCGAACCTAGGGAGCACCGAAGTTTGGCTGGGCCTATCTGAGAGCAAGGTCCATGGGTGCTCCACGGCCCCACAAAACCTCTGCTGCCCATGGGCACCTCTAGTCCACAGGTCAGACTTTGGGGACCATCAGAGTCAGAGAAGCTCATTTCCTAAGTAATCACTCTGGCTTGGTCAACAGAAGCATTCATATGTCAATCTACAGAGACTAAAAAATAAAACAGAGAAATGGAGATATACGAAGGATGGATGGATGGATGGATGGATGGATGGATAGATAGATAGATAGATAGATAGATAGAAAGAAATGAAGAAAGAAAACATTTAAAAGGAAAATCTCCAAAATGCTAACAACTGCTCTGATTGAATGGTGGAATTATGGGTGGGGCATTTTGTTTTCCTCTTATTACATTTTTGTATTTTCCAAATTTTCTTAAAAAAACCCTCCATGATTTAAAAAAGATTAAAAATGTAATATGAAACACAAAGAAATGGCATTGACTGGCCTGGGTTTAACAATGTCTATTGTGGTTGACTTCTCAGCCTCGGTTGCAACCCCCCTGACTGGTCTTAACCAGCCGCCATCATCCCATTCCCCCTCCAGTGCTGGACTTGGGATGCACTTGTGCCTCAGCCCTGGCAAGTGAGATATGAGAAGCCTAATGCAAAGCCTTTGTAAAGTAACCAGCGATTAAGTAGCTTCCTTTCTTCCTCTAGACACTGTCATGTTTTCAGACAACATTATGAGCCTGAGGCTGAAGGAGGAAAGAACCGAGGGAAACTCAGAGAAACAGGAGTCTGGACACGCCGTGCCTGGAGACCACCTGCCCCTCGACTTACCCCCACATGAGACAAAGTTTTGTTTCTGAGTTGGCTTTTCTGTTGCCTGTATCCAGAAGCATCCCAATTTATACAGTTGTCCAAATTCATGCATTAGGAGTGTCCACTATAATAAGCAAAACCACTTAAGAGCAAAACCACACTAAAGAAGAAAGTCATCGGTCTCCCGAGTGGCCCTACTTAGTACCACCCAGAAGCTCACTCTATGCCTCATTGCAGAATTACATTTGAACTCTAAATAAGACCATAAAGATATGTAGAAACATTTCCATCCAAAATGAGAATGCTAAGAATTCTTCCAAAATGCCTTTTTACATTCACATCAAAGCTTCCAGTTCTACCCTTTTACAAGCCAGAAACAAACAAAATCCTTAAATGACTCACATCCTTGATGTAGTTCATCTCTTCTTTCAGCTGATTGGTGGACCATCCATACACCACCATCTCCTTCTGCTGGTTTTGATCTGACCTTCGCACCACGCCATAGACAACACCCTGAGGAAGTTTCCTGCTCGGCTCCCCATTGCTTGGGCCAGGATGCTGGAAGAGAGTAGGAGAAGAGAAAGGAATACGCTGAGTGAAAACAACTGTAATAAAGGCCCGCTGTCCATGGCTGAGCAGGCTGTGCCCAGCACTGGGGTACCTGCAGGCAGCAGGCAGAGGCCAGCAGAAACCCAGCCTCTGCTCACCAAGTGCACCTGGCATGGGCAGAGGCTGCCTTTACCCTGGAGGACAAGTACCCTTCACTAGTTTCTACTAAGGCCTTTTCCACCTACGCAGAAGTGCATCTGCAGGGCCCCATCTTCCCAGAGGGGGGTCCTTTTTCTAATTCTCACAAAAGGACCAGATAGACTTGTGTCGTCCCCAACACCAAGAGCAAGTGACTGAACTTTAACCTTCACAGTAATGTGGGTTTTCCCCTTGGACCAGTTCCTCTGTATGTCTTCAACCTCCTCACTAAACATGTGGCCTGAAATGCATGAGATTGAGACACTCAAGGGGAAATGTTGGCTGCCACCTGGCAGCCACATTGTCCTCTGAGGTTAGGACTGACTCTGGGGCCAGCTCTGAGAAAGGGACATGTGGTGAGTACCCAACCTGTTGTGACTATTCATGAAATATTGCTGAAAAACCAGACAGAGGGGCGTGACTTCACTGCCAAAGTATCTTCCTGCTCCTTCATTCCTTCAGTTAGAGCTTTGATCAGTTTTGGAGGGCGAATGCTCTTGGGAAGAGGTAACACGTCCAAGTCCTAACACACCTTCCTAGAATGAAGGCTCAAGAAGTAGAAGAAAAAGAAATAAAGACTTGTTGAGCACATACTATAAGCTGGAAAAATGTTCCTAGCACATTGAATCTTCACAGCCAGTGTGTGCCTTAGCAATTGTCCTCTGAGGAAACTAATGTTCAGAAAAGTAACTTGTTAACAACAGTCATGCAGCTGGAGCCCAGTCATGCAACATTCAAGCCCAATTCTGCCTGCTCGAAGTACCCCTCCCCCCGCTGAGGGCTTTGTTCCATGTAGGAGGACAGAGTCAGGGCCTCCACAGCCTCGAACGGAAGGGGTGAGGGAACATCAAGACCAGGGACTGAGACTTCACAAACAAACGGGCTGACCCCAGTACTTTACCAATCACTGTACAGAAACCTGAAGTCAATAATGGCCACTCTGCTTTCCCACTGATGTTTAAATCACCTTTGCATCAATTCTTCCCATGCAATCGCAAAATATTTTGGCATACGAAACTGTAAATTGTATTTTAAAATCATTCATTTGTGGAATAATGAGTATCTTATGGCCTCATCCACTCGATGTTTAGAACAGTTTAGAAAAATACATGACAAACCAGGAATAGTAATGACCTCAAAGAGAGGACAGCAGGGTGGAGCAGTGGCACTAGAGGTCAGGATGACTGTCATTGTTTTTCTTTATACCCTTCCGTAGCACCTGCTTACAATGTGAGCTTTTTTAAATAATAAGAAAACAGAGCATTCATTGCTTCTCACCCTTCTGCACATACTTGGGGAGTTATGGGATAGGAGAAGCTGTAATACTCTAAATTTGATTCTGGAAAGTGCTTCTACTTGAGTCTCTCACAGTTGGGTCTCACAGAGACTAATAGAACTCTTGAAATCTGTACATCACGTTGAGGTGAGTGGTCTGTGGAATGAGTCCTGGTGGAGTGAGTGACAAGCTGGGGGTAGATATCCCTGCTTTACTAGGCATGTAATTACAAAGAGGAAAAGCTCTAATGCAACTCCCCCTGTACCGGAAACAAAAGCACACTCTTTCAGTCTTGGACTCCACCTGGTTCCTGCAAAACAAGCAAATGACGACATAAAGCTTCAGTGTAATGCGTCTCTGCAAAGCATAGGCTTTCACAGGTGTGTGGCTGCCAGGAAAATGTGTGGCTGGCTGGACACAGAGGACGCTGCCTCCCTGCATGAGGGGAGATGAGGGCCACCGGCATCACAAACACCACCGGGGACCAGACTCTGCGAAACACTGCTCTAAAGATGCAGATCTACAAGTTACACACAGGGAAAGGCACTGAAGATCCATTGAGTGGAAAACAGTAACTGTCATATTCCCATGTTTTGGTTTTACAAATGTGTGTGCATATTAAACATCCAGAAAAATAGAATTCCAAACCTTTCATGCCAGTTTCCTCAGTAAAGTTGGATTTCATTTTTTTCCTTTATATTCTTTGATTTGGGGGGCCAAAAAGACACTATTTTTTAATTAGTGACTTATTTCAATTTTCAAAGAACTAAAACTATTACAAGATCAGGGTCTGAAAGAAAGACGCCCACCCCCAGAAAAGGGGCCAGCACAGGACTGGGCTTGGGAGCAGGGCCACCACCAGGGGCCACTCCACAAGGGGGGGACTCCTGAGGCAGCGTGAGGGGCTGCGGGGCCGTGACAGAGAAAAGGAAGGAGCACCTGTGGAGAAAGAAGGGGGGAAATGTTTGTTGCCTAGCCATTTTATTATACAATGTTTTCTAATTCCCACAATGACCTCCTGTGTAACTGTTACTAGTTCTTCCAAGGTGGCAGCACGCGAGTGCCTGCCTGTGTGTCCCCAAACATAAGCTCTTTGACCACAATGCCTTCAAAATAGCCAAGAGTCAGGAGAGGATCTGGAACTCATGTGCCCACGTGGCAGTCGGCCCTCTGGGTCCCGGGCCATCGGGAAGAGGCAGGCCCAGGATGGGGAGCCTCTCCTCCAGCCTCCCGCGATCCAGCTCCCCCTCGGCCTCCACCCCACTCCAGCCTCACTGCCTCCTTTCAGTTCCTTCACCGGCCAACTTCCTTCTTGCCTCTGGGCATTTACACAGGCTATTGGCTTGGCTTCCCTGGTCCTTCAGCCTGCCTGGGTTTCCTGACATCCACTACAACCATACTTAAGTGACCACTAGTGGCATCATGTATGAAGGCCCTGCTCCCCTATCAAGTGGAAACTCCCAGGAGTCTAGGGCCCTGTTTGTCTTCTTTTCCACCATTATCCCTGGCATCTAACAGTGACTGAGATGCAGTGAGTTTCTCAATAAATATCCGCTGTATCCATATGGAGCTTTAGAAGTTGGAAGAGGTTCTGGGGAATTTCCCAGAGTATGCACATTGGCTCCAGCTGAAGGAAACTCCCTTGTTTCCTCTTAGATGCTGGAGCAGCAGGGGTGCGGATGGTTTTTCCCTGACCATCAGGTTGATACCCAGTAAAGCTGCAGAGGAGCCGAGAGCACTATCATTTCTACCAATGGCAGTACGCTTTTGGCCCAAAACTGGAGAACACAGAGAAAAATGAAAACAGTGATTTTTGTCACTATGTTTGTGGCTGAATTTTCCTGTACTCATCTACTTTAAAATAATTCCCTACAAGATAAATATGAACTTTTAGGCACGATAGTAGCACTGTGATTATGTTAGGAGATAGTTTTTATCTCTCAGAGAAATGTACTTAAATAAACATTCATGGCGTCTGGGTACCGGGTGGAGGAAGTGGATGGGATTGTAGACAAGGCGGGACTGACCGCGGGTTCAGGGTAGCTGGGGCTGGGGGAAGGGTCAACGACTCATTACACACTTTAGTCTCTTTTTGTCTATGTTTGAAATGTTCCAAAATTAAGTTTTTTCAAACTTCTTTACAATGCTGCTTAGTATTAAAAAATCAAATTAAAAAATGTACACTAGGCCCACGAACGGTCTCCAGGTCATGACACAGTGCTGGGCAAAACCTCCTTGAAAACAAAAGCCGTCATAAATGCATGGAATGCAGAGAAAGTTATTGCCACAAGGGGAAAAGGAAACCACCAATAGAAAGGCCATCCCAGAATCCCCACGTGAAATGCAGCAGAATTAACAACGGGCATAATCAGTAAAACAGAGAGAGACCATTCCCTGGGGTATAGCTTAAAATTTACTTACAGGCTCCCAATATGGCTGTTTTCCCTAAAGAGATATTTATCAGCCAGTGCCTTAGAAAGAAGGAGAAGCCATGGAAAAGCAACTCAGCCTAAATTCCTGCTATAAGGGCTTTGGCGGGGCCAGTGACAGGTGCCCTTATCTTCCAAACCCTAAATCAGAACCTGTGATCTTACAATAAGATAAGCTCTATTGACTCAGAGGCAGTATCTGCTGTATTTGCTGCTCTATCCCCAATACTCAGCATTAACAGATGCTCAATAAATATGTTTTGAAGGAAGGAAGACAGCAAAATATTTAGAATTGGGTCTGCGCCAAAGTACTTGGAGTGCCTGGTCACCCCAGACACTGATCTGGGCAAAGGAAGGAAGTCCCTAGGATGAGAAGGCCTCTGAGGGAATGAAGAACAGCAGAACACAATTTAACATAAATCCAAATTGTTGGTGCTAACTGGCCACAGCCAGCCTTGGCCCCAGAGGCCAAGCTGGGCAGATGGTCATACTTCCAGGCTGCCAATACCACAAAGATGGACCATAACATGACTTGAATGGCTTGCAAACTAGAAGCTGAGTTATGTCTAAAATGTCTTGCTTTGCACCTTGCCTTCCAGCCAGAGGGCAGCAGCTGACCCAGGAGAGCTGAGTGCTGGGCCGCAGGGCATGCTGCCCATCCTTCAGGCAGGGTGTCACTTTCAAGAATGTGCCCTGACCTGTCCGACCTGTGTGTCCATCTCAGCAAATTACTAGGCCCTGGTCATCACTGACACTTGACATTGTTTGGCCTTAGGACAACAATGAACAAAACAGCTGAGCCACAGGCTACTAGAGAAATAGGAGGGGGATGGGCATCCCAGGCTCCTCGGAGAAACAGAAATCTTTGGCTTATGAAGATATTTACTTCTGACAACCTCGCGGACTGACAGAGACCCTTTCCTACATAAAGTCATGCTTGGGGGTGGGGGACGATCACTTTGAATACTGAAATATGAGAAGAAAGAGAAAAACTTCCAGCCATGCAGAAATCCCAAAGAGAATGCAGTTCTAAATATAGTATCCTGATAGGAGGTTACTTCTTGAAGATGAAACTTTCGGTCTCTGAGCAGACAATCGATGCTTAG